GTCCACTTATCGACGATGTAGCAGTGAAACGAGCACATCGATATATCGCGACCCCTTACAGCTTCATATATGGGTTATATAACTGGAACGTTCAACTCCACTGATACCAAAGATCACTGTTAGATGCAACCCATAATTAGTTCCATCTACTTTACAATCTTACAATCTGTTTACCGAAGACGCCTCTTAATAAAGTGCTCGTAACTCTCGTCTCCCAAATGACAGCTTCTCCAGAGAAAATCCCACCAAAATTATAAATGGATTTCTTGTGTGTTAAATCCTTTTCATTCATGACAATACAGACTTTATCCTTTTTAATTCAGTATAGTTTGTTTGTCTCTTCGTCAGTTGGAAATGGGATTTATGATAAATACCTATCAAATAAGAGATGTAGAGAATTTCATAGAAACTTATGTTATTCAACCTGACGTTATAAAATTGAGTGTCGCTCCATATACCACAAGTGTTATCACTAAGCTTTTAGATTGTTATACGATTCCCAGGAACATTAAGCTGACGTAGCGTTTGTAGTAGATTCAAAAGATCAGTGCCTGTTCGAAAAAAAGGTTAACCCAGTAACGCATAGAATATATGAGATAATCGTAAAGAGATGTTATTACTCAACAATCATAATACATAATTTATGGCAAATTATTCACGGGAATTATTTACTTAAACACAGGTATAAAATTATTGAATTGTTTTCTGTTCTTACTTCGAAATCTTGCACTGTAATTATATGGACGGAGCAGACATTTATCATTATTGAAGCAATATCCCTTTTAGTATCTGAAGTTCTGTCCCCACGTTTTTGTGTCTATAGTTATTGCAAAGAGAATATATTTGATACGATAATTTTTAAATTTCATTTGGAAGGGATTTGAGAAGAAGCTGTTTTACCTTGTTTTAAATTAATATTAATGCGTGTTTATACACAAGATGTATCGAAGCTGAATATAATGTGTTTCAATATTTGGCACAGCATCATTAAATAAGCCTAAAACAACGTTTTGCGAGTCGTAACGCAGAGAGTGTTTTTGCCGAATTAAATTTGTACGTAATATTTGTGAAATAAAGAGCTAAACTTGTAATTAGGTCTATTTTTAATGAATGTGTGTACTTCGTTCTCTAAGAAAATAATGGGTATCATGTTTGCGGGATACTTTTGACCGCATTTGTAGCTCAAATCGCGATTTTAAAATCAGGTAAAATTATGAGTATTACTTAACCTTTATTTATTTCCATTACTGTTGAAATTTCAGTATGCAACGGAAAATTCCACGTTTCAGTGATTACGTTACGTAGTTACAATTGAGGATACACCCTACTAGATGCACATAGACTGTTTTGACTTTACATTCTAGTAAACATAACTGACCTTGCCATGTTTATATTCATCGTGGACACGCAAAACGCATCTCCAAGATCCACACGCTTGTGATCTTATTACGCCGTTGCTGTGCCAGACACGCCCATTTGTGATCAACAAACTGCAATATAGGTTATCAGATTTTCGAGTATGTCAGACTGGGTTATATTCTGTACTACGCCACACGCATAGATAATTAATTATACTTACTACTAAAGCTGCAGCTACTGTTGCTACTACTCCAGCGCGGCCAACAAATCTACGATACTCCGGAACTTTGAGTGGTGATTCCACTTCGATCAATGCTCTTAAAAACCTCTTCCCCTCTGCTTCGCCACACTTTCTGTCTTCTGCAGGTTGTCACATTTCAGGCACAGTATTGTCAAAATTAATGCGAGTGAGTGACTTGTACGAAAGGCCTTGTATTAACATTCTTAACAAAGTTATTCTCAATGGGAAAAGAATCAGTACTGTGTAACAGCATAATTTTGTAGTGCATAGTTAATTCATTATCAGGGTGATTCTCCGTGATAAAGGAGGCAGCAAGTACCTGTGAAACGTCGGTAAACTTCTACCCGACTATATGGCGCAACAACTCAGGAGACATATTCGCAGTAGCGAAAACCTAAAATCTCACTACTATAAAGTTGTTTTGAATTGTATCAATTAACGTTGCGAGTTCTTCTAACACCTTCGCCTACCGTTTTAGTAGCCCGTGGCTCTTGTTTAAGATCTCCAAGTAAGTAAATATGCTTTTGTTCTGAAGAGCCTAGGCTTTAAGTAGCCTGTTTTCAGCTCTTCTCTCCCGATTTCTTTCTTTGGCGTCAGAAATACTCAACATAATAGATAAGAAAATTGTATATTATTTATTAGACTACGAGCCAAAAGTTGGTAAACCAGGATAGTTGTCAGTAAGGTGACTATGTGTCGGATGACCGAGGTTCAGTTCTGAAGCCCTCCTTAAACGGGTACGAGGGTTCTTTTCCCGCGAAGCCCTCCTATTAAACGGGTACGAGGGTTCTTTTCCCGGGGAAGACCAAATGGAAGTTAAAATTAAGCTGACCATTTGTCTCGCTCACTTGTCGAGGTTAAGAATGCCGGACCGTCTGTTGACGTTCGAGGAGTGACACGTACACAGAGGATCAACTTATGAATTTGGTAAGGAAATTAGGGGAATAAAGTCGGTGGAAGGAAAATACAGTAATAACAAAAGAAAACAGATTTATAAATTTTTTTAAGCTGGCTTCTGTAAAAGTGATTAAACCAGACATAAGAGGCGTAAATCTGAAATGCCGCTTTTCGAACTATCCTGTTTTGATCGCACATTGACGTTTGTTCTGTGGGAGACGAAGAAAATATTGTGCTGTCACTCGAACACTTTTTACGTTTCCTAAGCAAGAAATATTTCCTGCAGCTGACAGCAAAATCAGAACCTGATGCGTACTTTGACATATTCAGCCTGAAAACCGAGACGTTGGGATACTATCATGTGCATCGAGGACTGTCATCTTTCAGATTGCCTGTCTGGCTTCTGAAAAAGTCTGCAAGGAAGTGGCGCTCTGCTTTCAGTCCGCAGTACTTAGGGAAATAAAAAGAAAAGAATGCCGTGGAGCGTATCTTTGTCTGCGGATTGGAAGCACTGGTCTACATGAAACAAATGAAAGCACGAAGGAAGGCCAACAAGTAAAAATCAGTGTTGGCAGCACTGAAGAGGACGGTGGATATAACAAAATAAAAATTTAGCAAATTTACAAATTGATAATACTGTGATGCTTTAACATGGCTACCCCGTCGACAGACTAAACCACACAGCAACAACATTCTGTGGTCTGATTTTTGTAGACGGTCCAGCAAACCAGAAGACAACCGTCCTCATACCCGTCGCCGTAAAAATCTCAAATCTTAGTCATGACGTTTAAACGTTTGCAGTTACTATTTAGTGAAAATGAGGATGCTGTTTAACATGAGCCTTCCAACTTGAGGTTGCCAATACTTTTGTATTTAGATATGTTGATGCTGCAGTAAGACAGGACCGCAGAACTTAAAGAAAGGTAATTGGTATCCGGAATTAAGAGAGCTCCTATCATACTAATCTGACTGACAAATCTATAACACTTCAAACTTTTATCCACAAGGTACTCGACTTAAGTCTCTACCATGTTATGTGGACTGGCCTCAAGTCAATTTGTGGTTTTACTCTATTTATCCAATGAATGTAGGGGTAGTACCCTCGATACAGGTCATGACACCCCTTCCAAGTCCTTACCTAGTCACTATTCGTAATCACCTTCAACTTTATATAAGGCGTCCGATTCCTCAGTTTTTTTATGGAAATACCGGAGCGGTTTATTGGAATCTATGGAACAACTAAAAATATCGATACCAGAGTACTGTCCTGTAACTTAATCACCCAGCTAATTTTTCCAGAACGTCAGAAAATCAATCTGTTATGGCCTATAAACCTACATGATGCAATCCCTGTAGAACAGAAACAAGATTAGGTGGAGACCGGCGTAAAATCCCGAAGGCTTCTTTGTCTTGCAGCGGCCCACATGTTGAAAACACTACTTCAGCTTTATCAGTATTAAGCAGGTTTGACTGTTTTTCACAAAGTGAGTAGACTTTTGCAATTTAAACCTGTCAGTCGAGATATAATCCGAAAGATGAAAATGTGTTATCTGAAACACGGGAACATTATATTTTATCGAAATTTTTTTGGGATACTTGTTCCTTATAAAGAGCCCACAGAATATTTTGTCCCATTTCACACTGGATAGCGTCTTGAGGACTGCGACGTACGCCGTCCGTTTTACACCGCTGTAGGACAAGTTGCCGCGTAAATAAGGCGCGTGTCTTCTTATGTTTATGTCTAGCATTTCCTTCCATTTAACCGTACAAAATCAAACAAGTGAATCTGATGACTCAGTGGGTTTACGTGTTTATGTGACAACGAAGTCTGCAACAAGACAGAGGTGGAGTTTGAAGCATAATTTGCAATTGCTTGCGAATGGTCAGTACAACACACCGATTTATTTACTGTTCCATTTCTTTATTTGTATTTTCTTTTTTAATTATTATTTACGTATTTCTGCTTACTTCATGTTCGTATACTAATTACGAAAGAATAAAATTTCATCATTTTTTTAAAAAATACAGTGATGTAAAAATATGAATGCAGTACTATTTGAGTGCTCCCTATCTGAATGAATAATTTATATTCTGATGTACACCATGCGCATCCAGAACAGTACCTTCTTTCTGAGTTTGTGGTTCGACTTGTAATAAAACGGGAATAGGAAATACATATATACAAATGAATTCCATTGCTTGTGTGTCAGGTATACGCCAAGTCAACGTTTCACAGGTAGAAGTGAAAGATATTTTTTGCCCCATTTCTTTACCATTCTATTTTCTGTCGAACGTTCCCCAGGTAGGCGACATTGGTTTGACGGCTCCGATGAAAGACGTAAGGATCTTGTCGTGTGCCAGCTACTCGAACATGTACGGGAATGACCGAAGGGAGAACGACGCCCCGTATCCTACACATGCGCGGCACGAGTTATAAGTTCCCTACTACGTATACTGAAGCAGTGGCAGTTGTAGTTGCCTGTATATATATGTATGTCTGTACTAGAGACTGAGGAAGGGGGGGAGGTTAATGTTATGGTGAGAGACTACGTGTGCGACCACCGGCGTTGGGGCAGTGAAGGAGACGAGGTCGTGCTACGATGTTCCCGGGTGGATCGTCAAAGCCGCCCTTTCTGTAGCTTTAAAACAAGACCACAAGACATGTGACTGCACAACTAGGAAGTAGACTCGGTGACTGCACATAGAGTAATTTAGTATGTAGAATATACGCGCATTAAATGTAAATGAAGGGGGTTTAATTAACGTATTGCTAATGTCAAAATAGTTATTTTGTGAAATTCTTTGTCCTTTTCTGCGCTTTTCTAGTTCTCCGCTAGGCAGGACACTGAAATTACGAAGTAATTGAATTTTGTTGTGGTTCTAAATCATCATTTCGAGATTACGTCTTTGCCATTGACATCTGCTTACGACTCGAACAACGGAGGACGTGAAAGGACGAACAGAATTAAGGTAAGAAATCGAACGACGTAGTTGGTTTGTGGTTTCTGTCGATTTCATTGTGTGATGTGTAGACATTACGACTCGACTGTCATTCTCGTGGCGAAATGTAGGTCGGTCGGTCAGAATAATGTTAAAAATGTGTGTTGGGTATACTGCCACGTCAGTAGGAACGATGAAATAAAGAGGTATGCATTTATGAAGGACTTCTGATTCTCCTTACGCGGGCTAGAAGATTATTATTGAAAGTGTTGTGTGTTTGTAATAGATTAGAAAGACATCACGAATATGAAAGGGCTTAATTGAAGAAACTTTCCTCACGTGATTTGCATCTGTCACTTAGCTCTGACTTTGAATGAACTCATTCATACATGTTCTGAGAGAACTGTACCATGAATATGCAATACAGGAAACAAGAAAATGTTTGGCACAGTTAGTTATTCCATATTGCAAGTTTAACAACAAGCTTTACATAAATTGTATATGAAATTCAGCAATTCTGTGATCTATTAACGTGACACTACATCTAGATGATAATATTTTAGAAGATGCTTTGTATGAAATTCAGCAATTCTGTGATCAATTAACGTGACACTGCATCTAGATGATAATATTTTAGAAGATGAAGGAAGATTACTAGTTTTTATGACTTTGAAACAGTTTGTTATTTTAATGTTAAAGAAAAGGTTCCCTCAGAGTTATCATATAGTTTTGCCATACTTATTAATTTTATGTTTAATAAAAGTACGTCAATATTAATATCTATTATATATTAAATGTATTTAATTTATAAAGATCAATATCTGATATTAATTTTTAGCTGTTTATACTTAACATTACAGGCGAATTTAATGGATTTCAAATTCCTCTACTATCTGTGTCAAAAATTTTGTGCATCAAAATTTCTTAAGAATATCATAATATGGATCCAGATATGTAGCGGTCTGTATGTTTCAGATCACTTGTCTCTTTGCGAAATATTCACCGACAAGTCACATGTAGGATTCTGTGTAGTATTTCGCCCTTTAACACTATATGAAGTACTGCACATAGAGGTTTTACGTTTTCATCCTAAGTTCATATAGCAGTTTATATTTTAACATTCATCTGGTCAGATTCTTTAAACAGGATTAATCTCTATGATAAACTACAACTTTACTCAAATACGATGTACAAGATATGCGAACACAATGTTTCTGTTCTGTAGGCCATTATCACTAGTGTAATGAGAAGAGGCTATCGCCTTTAACGCAGGTGGAATATAAACGTGTTGTGAAAGAGAGAAACTTGGCAATTCGGGAATTGAAGTATCATATTATGTTTTTGGGTTTGGCAGTTTTGTTCTCATAAATTAGTTGTAGATATGTCTACAGACCATAAACTAACGCACTTAGTTCAGTGCTGTAAGAACACAAAATAGGCTGTTAACTGTGCTAATAAGAACGTGGATATTAATTTACCTAATATGTTTACATACACAGTTTACTACACGAAGCAAAGAACACGTTTGTTGTCGGTAATATTACGTAACAGACCTACAGAAAGTGAGAGAGGAAACTGAACCATTCCGATGAAACCCGCCCCAGATCAATTTTGTTGAATACAAATTTATGTAATTCTTAATTTCCAAGAATCATTGTTTTAATATATCTTAGTGCTGCTTCAATACGGTTTATAGATTTCGTTTTAATCCTTTAAAGACAGACTAGTGATACCTAATTACGTGTACCACCTTCTTAATAAAGACGCGATGTTTTCTTAGAGCTAGAAACTAATTCTTTTGTTGTTATTTAGATGATTTTTCGTACTTTGACTGATTATATCGGTTTTTGGCAGCAATATAACTACCGAATCGATGGTTTTTAAAGTAACGTATTAGATCATTATTGTTGTCACACAGAGATTTCTTCTGGCGTGAATGGATGCCAGATACTCTTGCCATAATAACTATCAATCTAAAACACTGACGTTTTCAGTCAGTAGTCAATAGTTTGGCGCCCTTCAGTTTGTCTTATCGTTTAAGATTGGTGTTGATAATAGGACAGCTGAATGAAATTTGTTTCTCTACATCAGACGAAATCAAATAAGCTGTAATGTTCAAAAGTAACAAAGTAACTCCACGGAGCAAAGCCCTTCTTGAATGGGGTCACAGGTGAAATCAAATAAGCAGTAATGTTCAAAAGTAACAAAATAACTCCACGGAGCAAAGCCCTTCTTGAGAAATCTGTGCTAGTCTAGTAATTCTCTGCCTTTTCAGGAACCTAAAATTTCAATAAACATCTTGGGATTTCTGGTTCTTGCAGCAGCGAGTACGAAGATGAAACGGTCTCCTAGGATATTGCGCCGTGTAGTCTGGCAGAATTTTACGGACGTTTCTGAGGTGCTTACTTTTTCCAACATCAGGGCGATTGCCTGATGATCGAGGCAGTAAGCACCTCTGAAACGTCGGCCAATTTTCATCAGACTACACGGCGCAATATCCTGGAAGGCCGTTTCATCTTCAATCAATACCATGTTCACAAAAACCGACCATTAGACAAAATCCCCGAGACAGATAAATCTATTTCACATTATCGCTCTATTTAATATCATCCTTTGAGCAACGCTAAATCTCCCAAGTTATCTTTTCTAATCAGTTTTTTAGATCAGAATGTTGTACGCATTTCAGATTTCTCTTGTCTTCCACTTATCATTAGGGTTATTATTATTATTATTATTATTATTATTTATTGACTATGTGATCTGTTAAATTGCATATAAACCAAGAAACCAGAGTAGCTGAAAGGGATTCGATTCTGAAAATACCCCGTTCGAATCTCTCCTGGAACTCACCATTCCTATGAGACGTATTGTGTCAACCATAACCTGTTTCTCTCCTTGCTAATTCGATTCTTCGTCAGTGTAGACAGTGCCATATCCTTATAAATTAATGTAGTGTTAAAGAGGAAATTAATATTTATTGAAACAATCGATCAGCCAACGAATCACTGAATGTTATCCATGTCGGTAACTTAACAAGGTTGTCAGTGGCGTGGCGTGAAATGTAGGGGGAAAGCAATACATTCTTATATCGTACGATATTTGTAGGAATATCAGGGAACGACACTGCTTTCGATGCCCGAGTGTAAATGGAATGATAATTTATTTATTTTGTCTCAGAGAAGTAGAGTGTTAAGGTGTGAACTTTACTGAAGTAGTTCCATTTGTGAACATTCATTACCATGATGCACATTTCCGTTTTATAACGGCAGAGAATTTATTGGCCTGTTGAATAAATATTGCTTCAAGACAACCCTTCTGTTAATATTTTCCATATGTTTATTTGTATTTCTGAGTAGCGTTTGGTTTATTTATATATTTAATTATTCTTTATAAGAATAGTTTTCTTCTAACGGATTTCATTATGTTATGTTACCGGGATGACAGCAAGTAGTTTATATGGTTTGTAGGGTGTAAGAAGGCGTAGTTACTTTTCCTTTATTACAAGGATAACAGCTCCTGATTGAAATCGGAAAATGACTGTCTTATGTAGATTTTCGAGGCGGTTGTCACATAGTTACTCGTACCTAATTACGAGGACAGAATAGAGTAGTTTATGTAGTTTCGTTAGAAAGTGAAGTAGTTCCTTGCACTTAACAACTGACATGACAGCAAAAACCTTATGTGTGTTTTTGAGGGGTGGAATAGTAGACGTCGTATAGTTTTCTTCCAAACGCCGATATTCGGGATAAGGTTAGGTACTGTCATGCCATGTAGTCGAGCACATTGATCGACTCTGGTTTACACAGTACGTTTTCCCACTGAGCGAGGGCATACATTCACCAGACCAGTAAGTCTGCTCGTCCGAATGTTTTAACGCTATCGTTTGTTATTCATTGAGCAGTTTCTGTTTTACCGGAGAATTAACAATGAAATTGTCAAATGTGGTATTATGGGCAGTGACTCCCTGTAATGGTGTAGGTGTTTACCTACATTTCGGGGTTAAACATCGAATGTGGAGGCTTTCCTTACCTACGAGACGATGATAACCACTGCGTCACAACAAACAAGATCTCCTTCTCAACCATCCTTGCCGTGAAAGACACAGATATCAAAAAATAGAGAGTTGTATCTTAGTAGAGTAGGCCCGCACATATTTTCGAAATTTCTTTGATATTTCCTACAGGCCTATCTTATTCGCCCTTAGTGCAGATTTATTTCTGCTTTTGCAAAACAAATTACATCCAGATATCGAATTGCATAGAATTTAGGACTGTAAGCTCTTTCGTGTGCTGGTCACATTCGTGACGCTGCCTGGGGCGTGGGCATTGTTCCCTTGGACACTGGAACCATGAGTTCGCATCCAGCTCAAGGCATGAATGTTGTCTGGGCCTTTGTGTGTTGTGCTGTCCTGTATAAGTAGAGGCCTTGCGACGGGCTTATCACTTGTCCAAGTAGTCCTACTAAATGTCTAAATAGATCAAGCAACCTCCCATGTGTGAGGAGGTCACTGTCCTTCAAGGACTGTAGAGCCACAGATAATAATAAAATGCCATTCAGTATTGGTCAGAACGAAAACTGATTTAAGAAACGCAAGAAAAGTCCGGGGACAAATCAATTCAGTGCACATCCCGACACCTAATATCGTTGTGGCCCATTTTAATATTATTCTTATGATCATTCTAAAGGATATGGCCCAGTGATGGAGACTGGTTCCTTCTAAGGGACCCCGCAGAGTGGGAACTCCTCGTTCCTCTTATTTTACCTGGTGACGGAGACAAATCCAGTCTTCGAAACGTCGTGTTATGAGAAACAACGGACGATGTATAATGTCTAAAATTGTAGCCAAAACTATTACCCTTTTTACTCCTAAGTTTCTCTGATGGTTACTTCTTTTCTGAATACACAGACTACGCTACAATTTTGTATTCACGCATCTCTCATGGGAAATGGAAGATTTGTTCCGAATGTAAATATTGAAGTGACGATATTATTATAGGAATAACTCATGAAAATGGCGGCATTGATGGTCA